AAGAATTATTATTTTTTTTACTATGTTCCATCTGAATTTACTCACAGTGCAACATCTATATTGATTCTGACATTTATACAGCCAACTCACAGGTGTATCATTGCTTTGCTAAGAAAGATTATTCATATAACCCTTTTAGTTGTGAAGTTAAAGTCTTTCATTCTGGGCAAGTCATTTTCGAGCCTGAGGCCTGAAAAACAGGCTCGGGCTTAACAGATGTCTGACCAATTGTTGAGCAGCATTTCCGATCACAAGACTTTTGTTTACAGTTTTTGGTCCGTTTCAGGTTTACCTGTGTGAACGCAATCCAAAACTTCTTAAAAAATTCAACAATGTAACAAACTCTCTCGTCTGGTGCATAGAAGCGGACTATTAGGTGTGAATGCGACCATAGTCTATCAACTCAGGTGTAAATGTATCATAAGAGGCACCGTGGTGATGAAGCTCACGTTTCTGTGGGTAGAGTTTTGTTGTTTTTGTTTTTCAAATATATTCGCCTTTCTTTTTCTGATCAATTTATAAACCTAAGGAATGTTCATAAGATACTTAACCGTTTATTATGGCTATGATTTGTGTGAGGTATTCACGTTTTTAAAGAAAACGCCCAACATATCCAAAGATTAGCCACACACACACACACACACACACACACACCACACACACACACACACCACACACACCAGGGTTTTTGAGAAGCAACACGCAGCACATCGTCATAGAGGATTAGCTCGGGTTTTGAAAGTGTAACTAATTACTTTCTGCTCTGCAATACGGGGCCACACTCCAGTGTATCAATGAATATCATTAGATTAGAGGCTGAGTTAACTGAGATGTACACTTCCTATAACACCACAGCTGGTGGATGAGGAACATGCACACTTGTGAACACACACAAATAACACACACACATACAACTGCTGCATCGGAGATATGTTTTCTATTTGAAGCAAGCTTTAAAGGTCCCATGTCATGCTTTTCCGGTTTATTACCCCTCCCTTGTGTGTTATGAAGGTTTTTTTCTGCATGTAAATGGTCTGCAGAGTCACAAACCCTCAAAGTACACCCTGTAGGGAGTACAACTCTAACACAGAAAATACCTGTCTATGCTGCTCCAGAACGCCTCGTTGGAGATTTTCTTTTTACGGGAACCAAGTGAAGTAACAACGAACCGTTAAGTTACGTTTGAAGTCCGTATTGGTATTGGTCCAATCCGGACTTCCTCACACACACACACACACAACACTCAATCTTTTCTCAGCTGCAAACTCCGCCGATTTCTCCTCCCTGAGACGGCGGGGGCGCGGCGAGGCGGTGTGTGAGCACACACACAAACTCCCAGCCAAGCTGCGGGTGTGTGTGTTCGGGCTGGGTTTTGCTGTGTCTCGCTGTCTTGCAGACGGCCACTGGACTCATAGGGAGGGGGGGCAGGAGCTCCAACAAGCCGTTTAGGACAGAGAGTGAATACACATACTATACAGAGATGCTGTTTGAGAAAACCAATGAGATTTTGGAGAATTGCACAATATAAATCTATTCTAGTATACCTCAACAATGGAATTATGATCAGTAGAAATGGCCATGACATGGGACCTTTAACCTCCTGACTGGTGTTTTCCTCGGCCTGCATCACCCCCTCTGCAGCGTTGTTCCACACATCAAACCCTCTCGCTTCTAATGTTGATGAATTTACAAAGACCTGTTACTGTCAAAAATAATCTCCATCTGTATGTGTTATTGGTATTTTGCAACAGAGACGCTCCAAATGGCTATCATCAGGGGGCTGATGAAGGCTTAGCCGTCTGTAAATTATTGGTCCCTGACTATTGTGCACACCAATGTTCCCTAAACATCTCAAATGCAGTCTACTGTTTTGATATATTGTTACGTCCAGCAACTAGAAGTATCATCAAGGCTTAGGTTTCAACAAATACATTTGCACCATCAGAGCGCAAAACTGTGTTTTGAATCCTGTCAGGATGAGCAGAGCGCGGCTGGTAGAGTTACCGTTGGTGGCTCTGTACTGCCAGTATCTAGTAAACCCACAGGTACTTTCTGTGGTGACCACATTTCAGATTGTGCTTGTTTTTTTTTGTGCTCGTTTTCAAAACTGCGTTTGCATTTAATTTGTTCATTCCAACTAAAAACAATGAACCTGCATGTCTGTTGTGTAACGTTAGCATATAGCGCTATAAAACAATCCAGCCCCTGTAGCTCCTACAGCCAGTACTCAAGCTGTAAAAAATAAATCAGGGGGGGATGGTGGATTTTATCACATGGGGACATCATTTGTGCTGATAACCCGCCGAGGGTGGGAGACCAACCAGCATAAAGATCATTATTATACTCCTAAAACAACATGCATGTTATGGATGTTCAGATACTCCTTTCATTGCTCTTGACCAAGGCACCTCAGAATTGGAGTCGGTCCCCGGGCTGCCATGGCACCACTAACATTAGTGTCAAATGCAGAGGACAATTAATGCAAAATCTTTTTTTCACTTTCATTTAAAAGGGGGGGGGGGGGGTGGGGGGGGGGGGGGGGGGGAATACAAAAATGTGGTTATAATGGAAGTCTATGGTACAAATCTTGTAGGTTAACAGTCCCTCATTTATTATTCAGATGGATCAGCTGATTATACTAATAATAAAGTCAAAATAGTTTTTAGAATATTGAATTATAGTATATTTTTTCAAAAAAGCAGTTACTGGTATACGATCAAAACTAGTATGTAAATGGTTACATTTGTATCGTAATTAATTAAATCATTATGTAAATTAAACACTTCATGAAAAAAAATGGAGGGAAAAAAATATTGATCCGTCATCATTTTATTGCAGTTCAAATACAAATATTTTATGTTAACATTCCCAATGTTACTTTTTTTTAACAGGGCATTAAGTGCAAATTTAAATTGTTTACAACATATGAAAATATATTAAAGATTATACAAAATAGGACCAATGTTGTCAATGGCTGCCTACTCCACTTCTCCCCCATCTCATAGAAGTTTCCAAAGATGTTCATAATCATGTTTTTTGGTCTCAATTTTTCTGGCTCTTGCTTTCGGGTTGTTAGCTAAGCAATGGCTTTGAAGCCAAGTCTTGACATATACCTCTGGTCTGAACTTGTTCAGTGGAGCGCCAACACACTTGATGAAAAGCAACCTGACATGCTTTTTACCTCTAGGGAGCTTCTAGTTGTGGTTAAAATGTTCATCTGACTAAACCCACGTTCACACTCAGCTGTGGAGATGACCAGAGTGGTCACTGCTTGAAGGAGGGGTTTCAGCTCTTCTGGTGCTGGTGGTATCATTCATCAACAGTTTTGAGTCTTATCAGCTAGCTAAACAGGAGAGAAAAACGTATACTAAACTCCAAACTGAATGAGTCCTTACCCCAAGTGAAGGAGTTCAAGTATCTCGGGGTCTTGTTCTCGAGTGAGGAGAACAAATGGAGCGTGAGATGGGCCGGAGAATCGGAGCGGTACTGCAGTCGCTTTACCGCACCGTTTGACGAAAAGGGAGCTGAGCCAGAAGGCAAAGCTCTCTGACTACCGGGCCATTTTCGTTCCTACCCTCACCTATGGTCATGAAGGATGGGTCATGGACCGAAGAACGAGATCGCGGATACAATCGGCCGAGATGGGTTTTCCTCCGCAGGGTGGCTGGTGTCTCCCTTAGGGATAAGGTGAGAAGTTCGGGTCATCAGGGGAGGGGGACTCGGAGTTGAGCCGCCGCTCCTTCGCGTCGAAAGGAAGCCAGTTGAGGTGGTTCGGGGCACCTAAGTATTAGGAATGCCACCTTGGGCGCCTCCCTAGGGAGGTGTTCCAGGCACGTCCAGCTGGGAAGAGACCAAAGGGGTAGACCTAGGACCAGGTGGAGGGATTATATCTCTTCGCTGGCGTGGGAGCGCCTTGGGATCCCCCAGTCAGAAGCTGGTTGATGTGGCCAGGGAAAGGAAAGTTTGGGGCTCTCTGCTGGAACTGCTACCCCTGCGACCCGACCACGGATAAGCGGGAGAAGATGGATGGATGGAAACTAAGTTGTTAACTAAGTTGTTATTGCTGCTTATGTCCATAGATTCCACCTTTGGTGAGTAAAGTAGTGAGTAATGACTAAGATTACTGACTCTTGACTTACCTGAAATGTATTTTTAGTATTTTTAAATATGAAGTCCCTCAGATCGCGTTGTCCTCCTGGTCGCTTGGCCATTGTGATGACCGTTACCTGCGCTTCTGGCATCGATCAAAACAGGCGCATCACGGCGCTCTGGCGCCCTCTAGGGCACTCGCATAGCATAGCGTTCAGTGACTTGGTAAAAATGTCATTGCCTGTGTGCGTGCTCCCTCGCCCACAGTATTTTACTCAAAATGCGCAAAATTAATGTTGAAATAGCAGTAATACCAGTTGCCATGTTCATTGATAAAATGACATAAGGGATGGAAAGGGGGAATGGCAGTTTTAGAAGGGGGGATGATTTTGACCGTTTTTATTTCAGGGGGGATGCCATCCCCCCTCATCCCCCCTCAACTCGAGTACTGCCTACAGCTGCCTAGTGCTCTTCTGTTACACATACTAAGGCATCTATGTGTGGTAACCGTGACTGAGGTTACCACATGTAAAGCTAGTCACTGACAACGCCACCTCCTGCTAAGGGGCAGGAGGAACCCGTGGACCCTAAAATGTAAGTCGTGGAATGATTTTAAAGCTTCCCTAAATGGGTTCAATTATTACAGAGGCATGAATTCCAAAAACATAACAGCTTTATTTAACAAGTGTTTGGAAACTGTTTAAAAATGTCAATTCATGTAAAGTATACCAATATAATTCAACATGTATATAAGTTACCTCCTCAGTGGGCAGGCCCGGTCCGCCTGGGTTGCAGTGCCTGCTAATCGTGAGGGACAAAAACAAGAAAAGCCCACCACACCAAAACAACATAAGCATGCAATATTTAAACCACAATCTCTATAAAAATAAACAGTGAGATATTTAGCATACAGAAAATAAAGTGTCACACCGTGCAGTCCCTACACTGAAGGCAGGCAGCGTTCCACCCGGGCCCAGGCCTACACCGCAGAGGAGCGCAACCTACAACACAAACAATACAATGATTATACTGCCAATACGAAGAAAATGCCATGAAGAAAATGAACAAGAAAATACAAAAGAAACACTATAGGACAGTGGCTGGCCTGGTCCTTTTGAAAAGGAAACAACATAACATGTTAGTTGCCAGCCTCATTCACCAACTCAATATAAAATGAAATAGTTAAAAACAAGGCATACTTCCACAGAGTAGATTTCCAACTCAGCTTAATCCTGCCGGGGAAATGGTCACTTAATATCCCAGGTAGCTGGGCCGGTTGTGTGCATTAAGCTCTGTAAAAACACATAAATAAGTTCCTTAAAACACAATTAAAAACGTCGGTTTAAAAACGCCATTTAAAAGCAAATTACTCATAACAGACCCGGTCTTGTGCTTGTCGGGAGAGTTTCCCTCCGTAAATGGCAAAATCTCGTCTTGCACTCGCCCTAATAAAACCAAACTAAATGAGCCACTTGCATAAGTTAATTTAAAAGACCATAAAACCACCTTAAAACTGTTATTCCTACCTTTGTGAGAGGGAGAAGACCAGTGACAGGCAGCCAAGAGAGACTTTCTTGAACTGACGGCAAACTTTTTATGGCTTCCTGTTTACCCGGTCACCGTGTAAACATGTGACCGCATCAGGTGACACCGTCAGGTGACAATGACGTCAGATTCCCACATTCGCCCCGACGACAAGTTACTCACAACCAGGGTCTAAACAAGTGGTCATTGACCATTTCAGGCACCAAGGGAGCAGCCGCCCTCACCACACCCATTGCGTTGTTGCTAGTCACTGTGGACCTTGGAAGGTTAAGTGGGTTTAGGTTTCTTCCAGCAGTAGCCCGGGTTGTTCTTCTGGGAGCTGATGCCGGTCTTCCTTTACTTCTCCAACCCAGGATCTCTTCATCTTCACTACTGCCGGAGTCACTGGCAGGGATGTCTTGGTTGCTGGACGACAGACATGGGTTAAGTGTCATTGGTGCAGATGGTAGAATTTCAAGATGCGCTGCCCTCATCTCGGCCCTATGCACCCGCCGAACATCAGCAGTGCCATCAGCTCTGGTAATGGTGTACGGCCCACCAGACTCAGTGGGCACTCTAACCACCAGATAAAGAACTGGTGACCAGACATCCTGGATCTTGCGACGACCTTTACATTGATGATCCTTCAAGTAGACCAGCTGTCCTTCTGTAAAACCTGCATCGCGTGCCTGCTGGTTGTGATGTTGCTGTCGGTAGTCTGCTGCCTGTTGTAGGTTATTTCGTGCCAAGTCTCTTGCTACTTGTAGCCGTTCCCGATGCTGCTGGACCCACTCATCCCAGGAGCTGGTTGTGTCTTCTGGGGTACCTTCTCCCAAGAGAAAATCTGCAGGGACCCGTGGTGGCACACCAAACATTAAGCTATAAGGGGTATTCCCAGTCGAGCGATGTGCTGAGGTGTTGTATGCCCACACTAGCTGGGAGATGTACTTTGGCCATACACGCTTCTTCTCCGGGGGAAGAGATCGGAGCAGGTCGTGAAGTGTCCGGTTGAATCTCTCACATTGGCCATTTCCCTGTGGATGGTATGGCGTAGTCCTGGACTTCTCAATCCCATATAACTGGCAAACCTGCCGGATGAGGGCACTCTCAAAGTTTCTCCCCTGATCAGAGTGTATTCTCTTTGGTACGCCGAACCGGTTGAACCAGCTGTCGACTAGGACTTTCGCTACCGTGAGAGCAGTCTGGTCCTTAGTTGGCACCGCCTGCGTGTATTTCGAGAACACGTCGGTCATGACCAGCACATTCTCTTTACCGTCAGTTGCAGGCTCCAGCAAGGTGAAATCTATGGCCAGTATCTCCATTGGTTGGGTGGCCAACAGAGTACCCTGGTAGGTCTTCACCCCAGGCTGGACAGCTTTCGACAATACACAGCGTTGGCAACTCCGACAGTGGTTCTCTATATCAGCCCCCATACCAGGCCAGTAACATCTCTGCCTGGCCAGGTCAGTGGTCCGTCGCACCCCCTGGTGTCCATGTTTGTCGTGGAGGTTATTTAAAAGTTCTTCGTGCAGGCACATGGGCAGAAGCAGTTGTGCATAGACTTCCCCATGAGGGGCTGTGACCTGCCTATACAGTACACCCTCTTTTTCCAGAATGCGATCCCATTGCTGGACAAGACGCTTGACATCCTTTGAGAGTAGTAACCTCTCTTCCATATTTGGTGGCTTTCCTCTTTTCCAGAATGAAAGAAAGACTTCAATGGTGAGGTCAGCACCTTGCAGTGTAGCCAGATCGTCTGGTGATCTGCTTGGGAAGACTCCGATTTGCTGCTGTGCCACTACCACAGGTTTCTCGACGTCAGGCGAAATATTTGAGGAGGTGTTGGCATGTTGGTTCGGCTGCTCTTGAGGCACATCCTGGTCACTGTACTGGCGAGAGAGAGAGTCAGCATTTCCATTGTTTCTTCCAGGTTTGTAATGCACAGTGAAGTCAAAAGCTGCTAATTGAGCTGCCCATCTTTGCTCAGTGGCCCCCAGCTTAATGTTCTGAAAATGGCTTAGGGGATTGTTATCAGTGTACACTTACTGCCCAACAAATATTCCCTGAATTTCTCTGATATTGCCCACTTCAGTGCCAGGAACTCTAGTTTCATAGAGCTATAGTTCTCCATGTTGCGCTCTGAACCCCTCAGTGAACGACTTGCATAGGCCACTGGTCTTAATTTGCCCTGGTGGTCTTGTGACAGTACAGCTCCTATCCCTGATGACTAGCATCCACCTCAAGGACAAAAGGTTTTGTGAAGTCGGCAAAGGCTAAGATGGGTGTACTAGTAAACATCCTCTTCAATTCACTGAAACTGTGATTGCATTCCTCCGTCCACATGGTAGGCAGTATAACTGCTGGCCTTTTTCTGCTTTCTTTGGCTACTCTGATGACATTTGCCACCAGTTGATGTAGGGGCGCAGCCAATTGTGCAAACCCCTTTACAAAGCGACGGTAATAGCTGCAGAACCCAAGGAAAGATCTTACTTCAGTCACATCTCGGGGTACCCTCCAGTTTTCCACGGCAGAAATCTTGTCTGGATCAGTTGCCACTCCTTCACTGGACACCCGGTGTCCAAGGTACTGCACCTCTTTCTGAAAGAAGTGGCATTTGCTCATTTTGGCCTTCAGGCCTTTCATTTGGAATCTGCTGAGGACCATCTCCAACCGCTGCAGATGCTGTTCTATGGAGGTAGAGAAAACAATGACATCATCCAGATAGAGAAGGACTGACTGAAGGCTCTGGTCACCAAATATTCTTTCCATAAGTCTCTGAAAAGTCCCAGGAGCATTACACAAGCCAAAAGGCATTCTCTCAAACAACAGTCCAAAAGGCGTACAAAAGGCTGTCTTGGCTCTATCCTTCTCAGCGACAGGGACCTGATTGTAGCCACTTGCCAGATCTAATGTGGAGAACCATTGAGCGCCAGCAAGAGCATCCAGAGTTTCCTCGATGCGGGGTAGTGGGTAGGCATCTTTCCGAGTTTTAGCATTGAGTTGCCGGTAATCCACACACATCCTAATCTCTCCAGTCTTCTTGCGCACCAACACAATGGGGAAGCATAAGGACTGCTGCTCTCCCGGATGACTTTACTATCAAGCAGCTGCTTAATGTGATCCTTAACTGCCTGCCACTGCGTAGGGGGAATTCGTCTATATCTTTGGCGGACAGGGACCTCATCAAGAAGTGGAATCTCATGTACAATCTCATCAGTACACCCTAGGTCTCCCTCATGTTTAGCGAAGACTTGACTATACTTCCCTATCAGCTCCCTTGCCTGCATTTCTTCTGCGGGGTGAAAGCCCTGGCCAACTTCTGGTTCTGACCCATGGAGTACCGGCACTTCTTGCTCAGTACCGGCATGCTGGCGGTACTCCGGTACTCATGCACCGTGCCAGTACTCAACACTCTCCCGCCGTTCTTATTATACATCCATATATATATATATACAGCCGCCCGGTACTCAGTAGATGCGTCATGGGTGCCGAACGGACATTCTCATCGCTCTAACCGCTGGAGTTTCACAGCGGCTGTCAGCTGTTTACTCCTGTCATTCAAACAGAACGTGCTGGAGAGGGGGCGGGGCTTATCTTCTCCATGTAAATACTGTGGTGGAAACGACTATGTCAAAATTAACCTATTTGACCGTGATTTAATAGTAATACACGTTTCAAAATAATAATAATAATAATAATGCCGAAGTAACAACATACTGAAAACTGTTAGTAAAACCATGTTTTAATGCTTTACAATTTACATACCTAGATGCACGTGTGTTGTGTTTATGCAGTGCAACTCCCACCCAGTGGGTGGCTATGTAGAGTGATAGAACAGAGCAGGCACGCCCCCGAGAGAAGGAAAGCAAATCACGTCACAAATTAGCATTTCTAAAATGTTAGCGTGGATTAATAAAAGTGCAAAAAGACAGCGGTTGTCGCCGGAAGAAACTTCAAATACAGAGAATGCTGTGCCTGTGTTGGAAATTGTGTCTGATGGGGAGCTTTCTTTGGTTGATCCTCCTGCTCCAAGTTCTAGTGCATTAGCATTAGCACTAGCTCCGCCGCCTCCTCCAGAGCCTCTAACGTTAGCTGCTGCTGGCGCAACTGCCACCACCAACACGGGCAAAGCGATGCACCTGACTGCTGGACAACGGACCAGGTGCAATATGTTTGCAAGACCAATACATGGCTCCTTCTTAAAGATAAGAAGCTAGGATGTCGGATATGCAGAGATGTCAAATCTTTGGGAATACACACTGGACAAGGACTGAAACTGTCAACTGAATGGGGTGAGTGTGCAGTGTCTCATTTCGGTGTTGACAAGGGCAAACAACAAGCTAGCCTGATAAAAAAAAATCAAAGAACATAAAGAATCACAAGCCCATGTAAAAGCTGCTGACATCCTTACATCTGCTTCACGTAAAACTATTCAACATCAAGTGCAGTCTATGCATAAATCTGAATTAGACACCACTATCAGAGTTTTCGAACGGCATATAAAATTGGCAAACATAGCCGGCCATTCACAGACATGCCAATTGATTTGAATGTACAGAAACTGAATGGGCTGAACGTGGGCAGGGTTTTGCACTCCAATAAAACCTGTGGCGAAATCATCGACCACATAGGTCATGAGCTGAAGAAAAAAATGGCAAAAGACATTACAGAAAACCAAAGAAAACTCTGTGTTTTGGTCGATGAATCTACCACTATTAGTGGTAAAACGGTGCTTGTTGTGTGTCTACGCTCAGCATTAGCTGATGCTGAGCCCGAAACGTTTTTTTGGGAGCTGATCGAGTTGGATGGAACAACGGCTGATGACATCACAAAGGCGTTAATGGAGTGTCTTGGAAGATATTTTAACGAGGACTTTTTAGGTCAGTGTTTCGTTTCTTTTGCATGTGATGGGCTTCAGTCATGCTAGGGAAGAGAACAGGCGTTGCTACCCAGTTGTGTAGTAAATTCCCAAGCCTGTTTGTGTGGCACTGCTCCAATCATCGTCTAGAGCTGGCAGTTGGGGATGTGGTCAAGGAGGTCTCAGGGCTCAATCATTTCCAGATCTTTTTTGACAAACTCTATTCCTTGTTCCATGCCTCCCCCAAAAATCAGAGGCAGTTAGCGCAGTGTGCGCAAGCAGTCGGACAGCGTCTCCTGGTGATAGGGCGTGTTTTGTCCATCCGCTGGGGTGGCTTCAAGTGAAAGGAGCGTCAGAGCAGTCTGGGAAAACTACCGAGTGCTTCATGATCACTTCACAAATGCTGCAAACGACAGAAGCAGGGATTCCAGAGACAGGGCAAAGTACAAGGGCCTGGATGATGTGCTACATCTGCAACGTTTGTCAGCAATCTGGGACTGATGTACGATGCGCTCACAGAGCTCAGCGACCTCTCTCGGCAACTCCAAAAAAGAGAGATGACACTGCCTACAGCAGATAGGCTCTTAACTCGAGAAATACGAGTTTTTGAATCCATGGTCACCATGCCTGGCCCACACATGATTACAGTTCATACAGCTCTAGCTGAGAAGTCCTTCAAGGGTGTTGCCCTGCGTGAGAATGGCAGGCTTGTACAGATTCATGCAGGTCAGTTTTTCCGCAGTATGGTAGAGAATCTGAGACACAGAATGACTTCCACAACCTCCTCTCATGTCAGCACAAGAGAAATCCCATTACATGGCCGGGAGGCCCGGGACAATCAGCTAATCCAGGACATGAAAGTTATCCATCCTGGAAGTTGGCCTGAAGAGGAGTTAGACGTACAGTATGGGGACGTAGAGGTGCTACGTTTGTGCGAAGTGCTGAAAGTGGACAGAAGAGAGACTGTTCAGGGCTTTCGCGAATACAAGGAAACCAGGGCATCCCGTACACCTGCTGCCATGGAGCCTCTACTGAAAGCAGTCCGAACCATCGCTGTCTCCACTAGTGAGTGTGAGCGGGCATTCAGCTGCCTGAACGATCTCCTTACTGCAAAAAGGAATGCTCTCTCTGTCAGCCGACTGTCCAGCCTGGTTTTCATTAAATGTAATGGACCATCACTAGGACAGTTCAATCCGGAACAGTATGTGAGGTCCTGGCTGGCAAAGGGAAGGAGAAGTGCTGATGAAAGAGCCTGTCCAGCTCCAGCCCCTGATACTGATGTCCCCAAGGCCTTCTGGAGCCTTTTCTAACAATGTGAAGTATATGCAAAGCAGCTCACCCAGTGAGAAGACTTTTGGCATAATGTGCCGATTTGTACAGATCCTGGAGATAGAAGGACTTCAGACCAACCAGGGAGTTATCTGATCAGCTTGGTGTTCAATGTAACTCTTTACCATGGCTCAGACTTTGTTACTTGCAGTTACAGTTTCTCATTTTAGATTGTGCACATTTTGCATTTGTTTTTACATGTTCTTTGTTCATGCTCTTTATCATTTTTCTGAGTTGGAAAGTTAGATTGCATCATAGTTTACTTTATACATATTTGTATTCTTCAGTGGTGAAGTATATTGCAAAGCAGCTCAGCCATGTGAGAAGACTTTTGGCACTTTTTCGTTTTTCGTTTTCTGAGTTGGAAAGTTAGATTGCATTCAAAATGTACAGAAATACTTAATTTTGTTAAAGCTTTTTATAAAAAATGCTTCTGACCAGAGCTTTGTTTCCTTGTCATTAATGTTGAACACCACCAGAGGGGCTCTCACCTGAAAGGTCTCTGCTTCATGTGTCTTCAGCAGAAGATCTAGACTTTGATTGCTATATTTTCAGTTAATATTGACCTTACTGAGCTTTAGCCATATCCGCTGCCTATCATAAAAAATGTTAAGTACAGTGAACCTTTCTAAAATATACAGTAGTAAAGAGACAAACCCACCAGCATTATAGTAGCCAAATTCTTGTTTGTGGGCTGTATATATAAATTGACTTGAAAAAGTTGCTGATTTTAGAGTACTGGCACCTTTTTCATTCCAATTCAAGCACTGACTATACTTCCCTATCAGCTCCCTTGCCTGCATTTCTTCTGCAGGTGAAAGCCCTGGCCAACGTAAGGCTGAAATAGTTTCAGAAATGGTAACTGGGGCCTCTGCAACAACCTGTGCGCTGACTACCGTCACGACTTCCTCCACTTCACCCTCCACATGTTCCTCCTCAAAACTCAGTTCTGACCCCTCAATCCCCTCAACAAAATGCAATGTACCCAACACCTGTTTAAAGTGGACTGCAGCTCCGGTGGCTCCCACATTAACCACCGGCACAAAAGCAACACCGTTTTCGACTGTCACTAGGGAAGGGGACAAAAGCAGGCCTGGAGCAAGATCTGAGCCCCCAGGCTCTAAAAGCATGGTGGTGGGCGGAGCGTATGGAATTTTTGGGCAGGTCACTTGCACAAACTTTACTGATCCAGCGGGTATAAACTCCCCAGTCCTGCTGAGGACACGAACACTACCCCCCGGAACTAGTGGGCAGGCCTCGAGTCTGTGACAGTAGCGGAGAGCTGGCCCCCAGCCTGTCTCTGCCTGGATGGCAGACAAAGAGGCAGACAAAGAGGAAAACAATGCGTCCCCTTGTTGGGCAAATAGCTCTCTGTAGCATTCTGTGATTACATTCATCCCCAAAAGCCCTGGCACATTGTGTTGCTGTAAGGCAGAAGCAGTGTCTTTCAACACCAAGACCCCACGACTTGGAATCTTTTTACCCAACACCTGGATATCCAACTCAAGATATCCAACATAGGGAATCTCTAGGCCGTTGGCAGCCTTCAAAGCTAACCACCCGCATGTTTTAAGTTTAGGGGCATCCCAGTGTTGAAACACCTTTTTAAAGAGTGACTCTGTTATGGTTGTGACCATAGAACCTGTGTCCAGCAAACACTTTACCTTTACACCACCCATCTGTACCTCTACCACAGGACATTTACCTATGAGGGGTCGCAGGTTGTTTGCAAGGGGAGGGGCCTGCTTAGGGTGACCATCATAAACAATGTGATCATTAGCGATTGATTCTTCTGCAAAACCCATACCTGACGATATTACAGCAGCTGGAGCCGGGCTGCATTCTGGCCGGTCACTGGGTACGCTGGATGCTTGTGGCCTCTGACCCTGGCGACACTGGCGGAGGACATGCCCAGGCTTCCGACAGCGGAGGCAAATGGGTTGGCCATCTGCAGTAAACTGGTAGTTGGGCTTATTGACACGAGAAACAGATTGGTCAAGTACAGTTTCCATCTTAGACAGACCTTTTATAATGCTTTCAATTTGCAACTGCTGTTTCTTAAATAGTTCTTGCAAAGAAACCAGATCGGGTCCAGCCCCAACAGCATGGCAAGCTCCACCTAAATTTACATCTGCCCCACATTGATGTAGGCCAGCTTGAGCATGTCCTGCAGGCCTCTCACCCTCTTCAGCCCACCTGATTCCCTCCTGACGCAGTGATAAAAAAGAAATTTCCGGACGTTGCCTTATGAGACTCTTTAACTCGCGGCGCAAGGCCATATCCCGCACATACTCCACAAACTGGTCCCTAGCCAGAATATCTGGCTCCATCAACCTATTTGGATATGCACGTTTGATAGTCTCAATCATTTCCCACAAAGAATGGGAGAATTCCTTTAAAGACTCTCCCTCTCTTTGTTTTCGATCAAAAAACTGTTTTTGCAGGCTTACAAAGGAGGAGGAAGAACCATACAGCTCTTTCAGAATGACTAAAATTGTATCAGGATTTTCCCTTTCCACCAAAGTACGAAATCTGATTTCAGTTTTTGCTTCCCCCTCCAAATGATCATAAAGAAAGAGGGCCTTCTCTCTGGC